AACTAATATTTTATTACTGTTTGAGAGAAAATACCTTGAATTGAAACAAAAATATATCATATTTCTGCTCTGATTTTCTGTCACAAATGTAATAATTTTAAATATTGAAAATGGTGTATCCATATTTGTGGGAAGGCCTGCGGTCGATTAACTAACTACTACTAGAATTTCAAATGCGTTTTGGACGAATCTCCACGAGACGAAATAAGATTTGTTTAGGTGATTGTGCGACTCTGAAGTGGAAAATGCAGTATGGGAACTCTTTTCATACAGAGAAATATATATTCGCTTGTGTATTAACTTGATAAAAAAATATTGAAACCCCTTGAGTAATATGAATCTGTCTTATCCCTTCTTAACCTCGGTTTCGAGAAAAACTCATAGTTGAGCAAGTCATGTTGTGAATGAAGAGCTTTCTTGAAGAGCAGTTCGCTAGGAAACGCGCTCTTACACCACGCGCTCTCCTCGCGCGCGTTGACCAAGTGCATCTCTGTCGGCGCGCGCGTCTTTGGCGAGAGGGTTTTGAAACCGCCGCTGGCCTTCGCTGTAGCCGGCGGGGGCGGGGGCGGAGGCGGTTCCCGTGATATGAGTCGGCGGGCCCGCGCCGCTCCTTTCAGTCGCACTGTGGGGAGAGAAAGAGCGTGTGTGTGTGCTCCGCTGCAGCTCTACCCCAGGGCAGCTGCGTACTACACTCGCTTTGCGCCTCGCGCCAACCGGAGCTGCCTGTGCCGCCGCCATGGCCCACGGAGCCCAAGAGGTGGTCGTCCCTTGCGAGAAGTGCACGGCACCCGCTGCTCCCGGCTGTGCTCTGTGAGTGATTTGGGCGGGGGTTGGGCCGACGAAAACGAGTAGGAAGGTTTTTGTGATTCGGCCGTGATGGCGAGTGTTTGGCTCTCGCGCGATTGAAGCCGATTACCGGAATTGTTGACAACGGTGCTTTTTTTTATGTTCACCTGGAAGCGAATGGCGGATATTTGATGTGACATAGTCAGATTGAACTATGAGCCACATGCGTAAACGAATGTGTGACTCAAAAGTTTCTACTCGCTGAGAGCAAAGGTGTGTATCTTACTAGATGTTTTGGCAAATGAGTTCTCCGCTGCTCAAACAGTTTAGGCAGCAAACGTTCTTTCCGAATTGTAGTTGCTTGAAATACTTGGATGTACTTGTCTGTGAGTCTTGTGTCTGTGTATGTCATTGAACTGGTTGATTGATGAAATAGATGAATTTCAGAAACTTTGTCTAAATTGAACTGTTTATCGTGATTTGTCCTATAAATTAACTATGAATTATGTTTCCTAAAAAACGAACAGGATACTCCGCATGATTAAAGTGTGGCCTTGCCATGGTAATAAGCACCTGATGAGAACATAAATGCGTGGCAAACAATACTAAACAATTTAACTCGTTTATACAAATATAGCCCAGCGAAGTAAAATATTTGATTCCATCACTTGCAAATTCGTGTTGTGTTTGTATTTTCTATCTTTAGACACGATATATTACATTCTCTTTTGAAATTGTTTGTGTTGAAACCCGAATTAGAAAATGAAAGGCGTAGTGTCTAAATTTGATCGCATCACTCGACCAACCCGTAACGCACACCCCGAACACCAAAAGAAAGATGACTCTGTGATCTCCATAAGCTGTCGGTAGCGTTCTACGAAGTTTATTTACTAAATGGTGTGTTGCCTGAATAGGTCGGTGGTGTTTATGTACATGGCCCGATACTAAGATAGTCTCGCCGTTTGCGTCAGAAGGCGGACTTTCCTAATTGATGTAATAGGTTGACTAGTTTGATCATAATTTTCTTTCAAAGTTGTGCGAAGTTCGATACTCAGTTAAAAATGTGATAGTCTTTGCAAATTCTGCCAGAAAATATGTGGTTTGATGGACATCTTAGGATATTGACAAGGAGATTATGAGATCAATATAAGAGATTTCTTGCATTGATCAATATTACTTTTTTTGTGTTTACGAATAAGCTGTACCACTATTTGGGAGACCATTCGAATCTATCAGGAGCGGGTAAATGTTCCAAACGGTCAAGCACCCTTCAGAACAGGTAATCGGACGTATTAGTATTACTATATGCTTGCTGCTATTCTCGGCCGCAGTCACAGAATCGTCGCTTGCCAATCGTACTATGCCAACTAGGGCTACGACAGGGTAGACTTTATCATCTTCATAACGAATAACTGCTTGTAACAGGGGAATTTCTCAAGTTTGTGTGCTACCTGTGAAAATGAGTCCCGCGAGAGGAAGTAATCGGCCCCTCGGGTTTTATTACAAAGGTTGACGTTCCATGGCTGCGATACCGTATGTTCTCGGAGAGACCTGAGGTGTTGTGAATGGACGTGAGGAATCACGTGCTGCATCTATTTACGTACAGAATGTTTCCGTTCTGCCTTTGAAGCTGAAACGCAGTAATGGTGCCAGATACCCTAAGCAAACACTGATAGGTTCCGGAACTTGATGTCTAGCCAGTGAACTTGTAGGTGTTCGGAACCAGAAGCAAATGGGAGAAAGAAAGACGCAAAGAAAGAAAGAAAGAAAGATAAAGACTAACTTAGAGGTAAAGTCATTACTGCTCACTTAGTAGATGAATGTTTCGCGAAACGGAATTCAGGAAAACAAGTAGTTGGGTTTGCGATAACACTCGCAACTTTTAAAAAGTATTATATGAAAAACATTTGCGGTTCCTGAAAATAAAACGTGTAGCCCTTTATCTCTGAATATGCATTTAGCACAATACTTTTAGGATTTATTCAGAGTATATATATACTTTTATGAATTCATAAGAGCCCGAGTTCTTTAATTAATCTACAATTTCACTTTCCACTGCTGGGGCAGCGAATCACTGGTATTTATTGCCGACAAAGTAAGCTGTCGGCAAATTTTCTCGGGGTTTCCCCGTTCCCACCATTTTTCCAATGTTACTCACCATCTTCTTCATCACTAATATCCATTAATTCGATTATTACTTGCCAATCATGGGTTTAATGACCTCAGCAGTCGGTGGGCTCCTAAACCTCAATCAGTCCAAAATACAAATAAATTGAAAAAAGCGCGAACCCTCGATGAATCCCGATCTAATTAGCGGGTCTGTCTAGCGCCTGTCCTCGGCCCCGTCCTCGTGCGCGGGCGAGCACGTGCGCGCGTGTTGTGCGTGGCGGACAGGCCCCGCGTCAGCGCACGCGGCGGCGCCGGCAGGCGGCGAGCGCTCGGGACCGAAATAGCGCGCTCAAGTAAAAGCCGCGCAGAAGCGCGCTATTGTGCCCGGCGCAACCGCGCGCCCCCTGTTTAAGGCGATTCCGCGGCGCGACCGCCCGCTCGCCATGTGATTTATCGGAGTCAATCGCTTTGATTTGCTTTGATTTGCCTTGCGCGCGGCGCGGTGGCGAATGGATTGGGACCCCGCAGTTTTATTGTTGTTATTTTGTGAGGAATGTACTTTACGTGTATTTGCTTGTTCATGAGGGTGTAGAGATAAGTAATAGGGGAATCTGTCAAACTATTGTTCCACTAAACGAAATATTTTATTTTTGAATTTCGAATTATATTTGCCATCAGAGAACTGTTTTCACGTTAGTATAGTGGATCAATAGAGCAAAAGAACTATGATGTGAACGCATGATTATGACTTTTAATACATTAATGCACTCATGGTACTGAAATACTTAAGAATTTATTCTTGTATGATTACTATATGAACTGTTTGCAGCTCTGTAATCTTAAGAGAAATTTGAGAATTTCACCCGGTCATTCAAATATTGTTCGTACATGACTGAATACATTTATAACATTATTGTTCGTGACATAAATGTTTGTATTTTCTTCCCTACGTACGTGATTATGGAGTTTCGTATTCCTGAAAACCACGAAATAAAACCGTCGTGTTCAAGTTAGACTAAGCGAAAATCTGCCTCATCATTACTCTTGAAAATGCCTATCACCTGTATGTAAACAGTGGAGTTGCATTTCAAGGACGTACATTAACATTCATGAGAATTTCTCTCTTGGAACAAGTGTTTTCAAATTATGTATGTCTGTACTAATTATCGTGTTCAGTACATTGACTTTGATTGCAATACATAGTTGAAAGTGCATCAGGTTGGAAACCTTTTCTGCTTGCGTCGCCGCGTGCGTCCGCCATGTTGGATGGCCACGCCGCGTTCACGCTTGCGCACGCCGACCCCACGCGCGCCTTTCGCGAAGCTCCCTCCCCCTTCATCACTCGCTCTCCCTCTCTCCGCGCCTCTCGATCGCTTCCTCTCCTTTTCCACCCTCACTCCCCCCTCTGTCCGTCCACTTTTCCCACCTCCCACCTCCCACTCTCCCTCTCCAGCTGTCTCCCTCCCTCTTTCTCAACATTTCCCACCTTCGACCCTCCCTCTCTGTCTCCGCATCGCTTCCTTCTTATCTCCCCTCTCGCTCCGCTCCTCCTCCCCCCGGCCCCTCGCTTCTGCCAGAGGGCACCCGCCCGCCCTCCTCCCTCCGGCCACAGCGTCCGCCCGCGTTCGCGTCGTAAACCGGCAGCAGCAGCAGTAGCCGTCCCGCAGCCGCAGCCGCTTACGCCGAGCCAGCCGGTCGGCGAAACGCACCTATTTTGGGCACGGCGGCGGCGGCAGCGCCCTCGTAGCCGCGCCATTGGCCGCGCACGCTCTCGGCCACGCGCCTTCCCGCGCTCCGCCCCGCCCGCTCCGCTCCCTCCGCTCCGCTCTGCCCCGCTGGGCGATCGCGCAGCGTGGCGGCGATCGGCCGACGCTCAATGGGGGGGCTGTTTGCGGAAAGCGCGCGCGCCCTTTTGTCTCCCCGCCCCTGCGATGCGGCCCGCGCGTCGCCTCCGCCCGCCCCCTTCCGCGCCGCCCGCGCGTAGAGCCACGGTGTCGCAACGTAGGTGAGTCCCGCCCGCGGGCGCCGCTCGCCGCTCCGGAGGGGTATTTTTCGCCCGGAGGGCCGACCGCGAGCCTCCGAGCGCTCCCCGCCGGCGCCAGACGATGCACGCTGCGTCGGAGAAACCGCGGGCGGGCGCGGGCGGGCCGCCGCCCTTCCGCGGTGGAGGTAAGTTGTTTGTTTGCTCTAATGAAACGGTGAAGAATACACGGTTTTTGTGTGATCCACCCAACTTTAAAAAAAATCGTGTGTGCGTGAGCTACTCGGATCTCGACATTCGTGAATAAAAACGTTTTGAATTAGAAAAATTGCGAATAAACGTTAAATTGATTAACCTGGTATGCCTTTCCGTTCTGAATATACGAGCTCACGTATTTACTTATGGTGTTGAAGGTCATCGAACGTGTTCCAATAATAGCAAGTTCAATTCCGATGCATGTATTTTAATCTTCTGTGCATGACCACTTTCACGTCGTGCCCAATTGCAAGGGGGCAATGAGCCTTTTAATGTGTGTTGCACAGTTTTTGGTAGTACTCTTTCATTAAAACCACGAAATGCAGTGCTTCATTGTAGTATCTCATCCTTTTGCATCCGTCTTTATTTCGCGATGCATGTCTTTTCCTCCAGCGTCCGAACGGCCAGTGGTCATGTGACTTCTAAAAATGTTCTTCTAAATGTAGTAGCCTGGGGGTGCGAACTTCAATGTCGCGTTCTTTCTGCATTATATATCATTGACACGACCACATTAATGATAAGCTTTGTAATAATCGTTATGGCTGTGTGCATACATATTCCTTGAAAGTTCCAGGATAACAGTAGTTATTTTTACGCATATTTGTGGGTTAAGATGGTGTGCGATACGCAGAAGATAAATTAATTCGGCAAGTGATATAAACAAAGTGAATATCTCATTAAATTTGTGGAAATTGCTAGTACTCTTATTGTATGATGCACAACATCTTTATTGCCTTATAAGTGAAAAATCTCATAGGCTTTCAATAGAAACGTTTTTAACCTTTGCGGTGCTTTCTAAGACCATTCTTGATCTAATCATTGGACTAAAGACGCAATGATCATGAGCATTTTAATTGAGATCGACGCAAATTATGAAATCATGTAAGAATTGAGGATAGTAATCGAAAGGGGAAACATTCGTTTTATAAAAGGCCCGAGATGATTTACCGACAGTACTTTATACTACCAACTAATTTCTGCACTTACAGATATTTTGTCTCTGAATACGAAGTATATTTGCCACTTCCTCTAACCCAGTACGTATGAAAGTCGGTCACACCTGGTAGCGTACCTATTTTTACACATCTCCGTGTTTAGACTCGTAAGGTTGGGAACCTACAAATTCTTCAGAGTCGTTCGTGCTTTTGTATCGAGATATTTATTTCTAAAATCCTCAAATTCAGGCGGTATATGGTTTTGAAAAGTAATTTGGAGTACATTATAAATAGGGGTCGATTTTAAAGAAATTTTTTTTTCTTTTCACTTTAGATTAATGCCTTTAAGTATTGACGTTAATTTTATGTTGTTACAAAAGAGAATGACCCATTTTTATGTGGCATTTTTTAAATTGTTTTCGTCGATTTTGATTAATAAGTCAGTTTTTTACATTTTTCCGTAATTTTTATGCATTTTTCAGTGATTTCATTGATTTTAATATTATTTTAATGGTACTTGTTTCAAATAATATTTATAGATGCAACAATGTCAAATGTTCTCCACAGAATTACTCAGTAGCCTATTCGAATTCTTCGATCAGAAATTGTAATGTCAGCCGTTGTAAGTACGTAATCTAAAGTTCCTGTGACGCCTATCAGTGCCATTGACGGATCAGCCGGTTTCCGGGTGTCTAAAGACCGAGATTTTCTAGTGAAGGACAGTCCGAACCGAACGTTAGCGAGCTGACTTCCCTTGAACGAAAGGAAGAAGCGCCGATTACTCAGTAACATAGCCAACAGCTTGACTTGTTCATCTGAACTGGTTTTGATAAGAATGTTTACGTCATTTTTCTTTGCTTTAAATGCATTTTTCAAGCAGTTTAAGAGCATTTTATTGATCACTTTGGGCGAAGTTTTAGATCATCATAATCCGCCCCCTAATTATAAGGGGTTTGAGGGAAATAAACTGAGGTCAGCTTAATAGAGAGATTTTCTCTTACAACAGTTGTATTGAAATGAAAACTAAAATGAAACGATGCAATAGTCTCTTACAAAAGTGAACTCTAGTCACAGATTTAAATAAGTAAACAAACGGTTATAATTGCATATTATTAGACCGCTATCATTCCTTCATGAAATTGAAAGCGATTCCTTATGTGATTTTCTTCCCAATGGGTAGATTCACATTATTTTTAGTCTCGATTCATTGAAAATATTTTGAATCATGTTAGAACTAAAAGGTTGATATTTCAATTAGAAATTAGAGGTACCGACTATGAACCAGACAGGAAACCTACGTTGCTTGTTTTATCACTCTGGAAGAACACTTTTTCTTCTGGGAGTTACAAGAAACATTTTAAGTACAATGCACTGATTGTAATCAAATACGGGCTTTGTCGTGCGTGTGAAAATACGTACTGGGTCGTGGCTCCGGCTGTTATCAATTAATCGGCCAGTACGTGTATTTCTAAATTTTGTATTAATAACAGAAAAGCTAATTAAATTATTTTGATTCGAAGAGATAGACAGTAATGCTTTACTAAGTGAGCAAAATACAGTATTTCCTTATTGCAGACATTTTAACGCCAATAGATCGATCTAGAGCATAAAGCATGCGGCTGCTAAACCGAGATCATAGCAGATGTTTGATAAGTCCAATTTTTCCCTTTCTTTTCGTTATCGACCTTGTGTGTAATGAATATCTTTCTTGGGTAGTCACGTGCAGTCTTTAGCTGCAACACATTTGTTTCGATCGTTCGCAATGAACGGCAGATTGTTTGAACAGACGCCGGTAGTTAAGCGTCGCTTTTCGTTCTTCTGTTCGGTTCCGTACCGCCGATATAACAGTACTGTACTGCGACCACAGTTGTTCACTCTGTGGCCGAGCGGGTGGATTTTTGCCACGCGTTGCCGGCGCTGGCAGCCCAGCGAGCCTCGTGTCTTACCCGGCGCTGCTGCTTCTGTTGCAGGTGACGTCTAGCGCGAGCAACGGCGTGATCCCTGACGTCGAGGAGATCTGGGACGAGGAGCTTCTCAAGCAGTTGGTGAGTGGCCACGCGCTTCTTCTTCTTCTTCTTCCCCTGTTTTATTTTCCTTTTTTACTTGTCATTTTCAGTTTCTTTTCTTTCTCTTCATTCGTCTATTTCTCTCTTCTCCCCCTCCTTCACCTTCTTGTTTTAATTCTTTCCCCGCATTTCCTTTATTTTTATTTTTCTTCCTTTCAGTTGTTATTTTTTTTTCTCCTTCTGTTACCTCTACTTTTTATTCATTTTCATTTTTATTGTTGTCGCATTTAATTTTTACTTTTCTGTTTTTTCTTCTCCTTTCCTTTCGCCCTAGTTTTATACTCGTTCACTGTAATCTACTTCTTCCCCCACTCTTTTGTTGTTTCCTCATTTTTATTTCTCCATCGTTTCTCTTGTTATTTATTCTTTTCCTTATAGCCTTATGTATAACTACAGTACGCATTTTCAAATCACAAAAAAAACCTATTTCAAGAATAGAATGATAATAGATGTACGGTCCTTTCAAAATCTAGAAGCGGATTTTGCGTAGTCGTACGCTAAAATGAGGTCTTCTTTCTTGCGATTCTGTTGAAAACTTTCTAACCTGTATTGTTGACGGGGTGTTGGTGGTCAAATAACAGATATTATTTTGGTACTTGAAAAGGATTTGGATGATGAAATTGATAGTTGTTTGGCTTAAGTCTTTTTTGTTTACGAGGATCAAATTGTACTGGACTGAGGGGACGTGTATGGTAAGATAAAACAAGGGGAAGATGGCAGGATTCTAAAACAAAAAGAAAATCCCCATATATCTATTGAGATTTAAGAATTACTCCAAAAGTCAATTATTACGTAAGGTAAACGTCTTTTTTGACATCGTACTAAATATAATGGGAATACTTACAAAATAAAGAGCAAGTTATCGTGGTATTTTGTAATTAATATGATGAGCGCGGTATGTGTAAAATGAAATATTTTAATTAAATGCGTTAACAACAAACTACGTGTTGCTAATACTAGTATTTCCTGTTTTCAGCTGGAGAGTTGCTCAGATTACGAAGGCCGGCGGAAGATCAGAGCTAGACTGCGTACCGTCATGGCGGAACAAAGTGGTAAGTTGAAGCAAATGTGAGCAAATCTGAAAATATAGATAATTAAGGAGAAACTGTCTTCCTCCCTGGTAAATTTTTGATCCCAGTAAAAAAGCTGATATGTCATGAATGCGTAAAATTTACAGGAGAGCAAAAAATATCTTTCAAATGAAGTAAATCGGGGATTAATGATATTCAGACGCAGGTGATGTTCAAACTAAACTATTTATATGTAGGTTTAGTTTGAAATCATTAATCCTTGATTTATAGAATCGGATGAAAGTGTTTGTTTTTTTGGCTCTCCTGAAAAATTTAACCATTCATCACTTATCAGCATATTCACCGAGGATATACAACTTGACGACTTTTATGATGGTTTTTATTTAGAAGAATTCAACTTTGTGAAAGATTAAATATTTATACCAGCAGTTTATTTGGTACCTGGGTATTTGAATATAGTACAAACGCCATTTCCTTCGATGTTGACTAACAAATAATTTGATAAATACTCATATCATAAAAATGTACCAAGTAAACTTTATCTCAATATACAATTATTAATAAAATATCAATAATTACACATATTGTTAAAATTCCAATTTGTACTTCAATACGCCGAAACTAGTAGAAAACAATGTTTATAATGAACTTAAAATTGCACATTTTTAATCATGTTTCAATAAACGGTCATAAAAGTGCGACACTCAATTTAATGAATCTGTTGAATTGAAGGAGCAAATAACAAAACATAGCTCAAAATAGAGAAAGCAATATTGCAATATTAATATTTTCTAAACATTAGGTATGGTAAATTGAAATGAAATCCATCTAGATTTAAATATAATAATTGAAACTTTATAAAACACACCTGACGGAAGTTGGATATTAAAGAACTTATGTGAAACGTACAAATTATTAATTGCATTACTTATTTTTTATAGTGTCTATATTACGCCTCCGTGCGACTGTAAATACAGACAGTTGTTGAGGGTCAAAGACCTTTCAAATTTCCAAACAACGTCCATGACCTCGTAAAAATTTTTATGGTTTCGTGATGCTCACTACCAACGAAAGTTCTTCTGGTCGTTAGCGATCTTTTTATAAAACCGCAGCTGTTTTGGCGGAACTCCGAGATCCTGCAGGCACTTGGCACTGATCCCCTCCTCGCAAAAGGTTGACTACTAAGTTCACTTCATAGATTGCTTAACTTTCCCAATTTGGGATTGAAAATGTTGACCGAATTTAAAAATAAAAATTAGTAGAAATAAATAAATACAGTGAAAAGTAAAGAAAATACTTTCATATCATAGGTATTTTTTCGTAAAAAACGGATTTTTTTAAATACTTTTCTAATGTATTCTACTGTTTGCCTTCAAATTAGACACCTGTTTGAGTTGTGTAGTAAAATTTATAATAACTACTTTCCTCCATTCCACAATTGCGTAACAAAGCAAGTGTAACTTTGATGAATGAGTTTTCCCACCAAATGTTCATTGGCAAAAGGTCATAGTCTTCGAGTCCCATACATGCCATAGCAGTTCGTAACATGTATTCCGAGACGACATGAATAATTGATCATTATTTATAATAATAATCTTTCTAGCGACATAACCCTGTTCCTAGCGGACTGAATGCCACTCTGTGGGAAAATCCAAAACTCTCAACAATGTTAGAACAGTTGTAAAGAACACGTTTAGTAATAAAAGAGAAAAATAAGATGGAAGTGATACCTGATTAAATGAATCTAGTGTATAATAAACAGGGGGCGGTTTTTAATGAAATGTCAATTTTTTCACTTTAAAACAATCCGTTTTTAGATATTAGTTTTGTGTTATAACAAAAGGAAATTACCTATTTTTATACCCCTTTCTGTTACATATTTTTTTACCTTTTCCCGTCATTTTTAAAGCACTTTTGACAATTTATTGGATTTTGATATAATTTTAATGGATCTTGCGTCACATAATATTTACGCGATGCAACAAATGTTCTCCTGAAAATCCGCGAGTAGCCAGTGCGATTTCTTCGCTCAAAATTGTAATGTCATCCGTTGTATGTTATCTAAGGTTCCTGTGACGGCTATCTGCGGCATTGACGGTTCGCTCGATTTGGGAATGAGTAAAGACAGAGGTTTTGTGGTAAAGAATACTCCAAACCAAGAGCTTACGAGCGGAGTCCACTTGAACGAAAGGAAGAAGCCTCGGGTACTCAGTAACCTATCCAACAGCTTGAGCTTTTCATTTGAACTGTTTTTGATCAAACTTTTTACGCCATCTTTCTTTGCTTTTAGGGCATTTTTCAAGTTGTTAAGAGCATTTGTGGTGATCTTATCCGTCCCTAGTCCTAAGCGTCCGCCATGCTTTAGCGAATAGAAGAGGGCGTTGGCCGAGAGTGACGATGTGTGCGCGTGCGCGTTGCAGCGTGCGCGAGCGTGGTGGCCGCGGCGCGGGCGGACGAGGAGGCCGCGCGGCGCGGGTCGGTGCCGGCCACCGGCTCGGGCTCCTCCACCTTGGTGTCGCACGAGGAGACGGAGCGCGGCGCCGACGGCTCCAGCGTGCACCGCACCATCCAGCAGGGTGAGTCGCTGCTGCTGCCGCTGCTCGTGGAGCAGCTGCGCTCTTCGCTGCGCGGCGGCGACAGCCCCGCCCACCACCACCACCACCCCCACGCGCGCGCGTCGCGCGCCGCACGGCCCGGGCCCCGGCGCGCCTCGGCGTGGCCTCGGCCTGCGCGGACGACTCGGGCACCGAGTCCGGCGAACGACCTGCGCCTTCTGGCGGCGGGCCTCCCGCGACCCTCGAGGCTGCAGCGCGCACCAAGCAGGCGCAAGCTGCGCCCGCGGCCCGGCGCCCCACCCCCGCGGCGGCCGCCAGCCCGCGCCCTCCGGCGGCCTGCTGTCGAGGTGAAACGGGCGCTGGCGCGGCTGGCAGGCGTCGCTGCGCCAGGGCGGGGAGCTGGCGAGGTGGCGCTGGACGCCGAGCGCCGCGAACGCGCTCCTGCTGCTGGTGGCAGCGCCTGCAGGCGTCGCTCCAGCCTGCCCCCCGCGCCCCCCGGCCCCGCCCCCAGCCGCCAAGGCGGTCACCCGCGAGCTTGTGGAGTGCCCGCCGCACCTCGCGACGCTTTCGCCAAAACACGCCGCGCAGCGCGCGCAGCCCGCCACACGGTGGGCGTGGACGCGCGAGAGCTGGCGGCGCGGCGCCGCCTGCTGGACAGAGCAGGCGCAGCTGAGCGCGGCGGCCTCGCCCGGCCCGCCCGCCAGAACCCCGCCCCCGCCCACCGCCGTCACGCCCCCCGCGCCTCCGCCTACGCCGGCCTCGTCGCCTGCCCCGTGCGGCAGTACTCGCTTGCTCAAGCAGAGCTGCCCCGCCGGGGGAGCTGGCACACCGGCCAGCAGGCCTCGGGGGCCGCGGGGGCTCACCCCGGCCGCAGAGGGCTTCCGCCTCCGTGCGCTTCACGCCGGCCGGCTCCAAGTCCGCCTCGCAGGCGAGGAGCGCGCCAGCCCGCCGGCCGCGGCGCCCGCCCCCGCCCCCGCCCGCCGCCCCCGCCCCCGCACGTAACGACCCCTGGCCGAGCGCGGCGGACCCTCGCGCCCGCCCGCTCGGCCCCGCTCCGACGCGCGAGCCAGCCGGACTCGCTCAGCGCTGACCCCCGCCCCCGCCTCGTCCCGCCCCCGCCCCGACCAAGGCGCCAGAGCCGGTCGGCCCCAAGCACCACTACACGCCACAGGCCTTCCAGGGGGTGGCCAACGTCCCCATGGCCGCCGTCGTCGGGAAGGAGTATAGGCCCAAGATGGGCGGCGACGCGAGTAGGCTGCGGAACAAGTCGCTCTCGCAGTCCTCCTCCGTGGAGAGCTCGCAGTCCAAATCGTCCGTGTCTGATAGAAGTGCAGGCTCCGAACAGTTCCACCAACCGCTTTCCCATTCTTCGTCCTGCGAGAGTACGTCCAACTCGAAAGCGTCCACGCCGCAGAGATCCGACAGCGGCAATTTATCGAATCAGCCCTTGGACGGTGCCAACTCCCAAAATCCGTTCTTTAAAAATCCTGTTGGTTCCTTTTCAACGGATAATGAGGCTAGGAGCCAAGCCAGTTCGCGCTCGTCGAGTGAGAACCATATTCCACGTGCTCCTGAAGCCGGAGAGCCGAGATCGCAGAACGCCGACGCCTCCGAGACGAGCCAAAAGCAGTTTCCAGCGGTGTTTGCCGAAACCAAACACAAGCCCGTTTCGCAAACCGCTTCTCTGGACAACACGGGGCAGGCCACGCCGATGAGACCGCTGGTGCAGAAAGTGCCGCAACCTAAGTCGGTCGTTCATTCGTCCTCCCTGGACAGCACGAGCAGCAACTACGACCCGAGCGTGCTTCTCTTCACGCCGTCCCAAGCGATGCAGATCGCCATCCACAAGGCGGCCATCAACAAGCAGCTGTCCCGGGAGGAGGAGCGGCGGCAGAGCACCTCCTCTTCACGTCATGGGTCCTTTAGCAAGACCTGCGAGAGTGAAGGAGCTAGCAGCGACGGCGAGGAAGGGGGAGACGAGGCAGAGGAGGAATACCTGAGCTACGAAAGCGGGCAATCGGATTCGGAAGAAGACGCGGAGGAAGAAACCACTGTGCGGCAGATGTCGAACGGCAACGCGCCGCCATTGCGGCAGCCATTCGTTCCTCAACAAAGCAGTGGGAACTCGCAGGCAAAGATACCAGCGCATCCTGAAAGAGGTCAGGAGATGCTGAGAGGAACGGAAAGTATGGGGGCTTCAAACATTAATTCAGTTGCAAAACCTTTTGCTGGGTCTGTAAATAATACTGGCCCCGCTGCACAACCTGTTAGCAACATAAATAATGTAAACTTGGTAAATTCCGGTTACGGAGTACATCAACCAAATCAAACTGTGCCCGCGTACCCGAAGCCTAACTTACCCCCTAACGCTCAACAGGAAAACTATGAAAATGCCAATTCTTCAACGTGGACTACTGATGTTGCAAAACACGAATTTATTTATGATCAGCCACGTGTCGAAAGTGATTCCAACATGAACTCCGTGGACAATACCGTTTACGCACCACCATCTTACCACGATGCTTCACTTCATTCGAACGCAATCACCAACATACACCACACCACAGCATATCAAAATGCGAATGCCCATGATGTTAGTTCTCTGAGCAACGGCACAAGTAATGTTTCTTCAGCCCAAAGGCTCCTTCAAATGGCGACAGCAGACTCAAAAATACCCACAAGGTACCGAAGTGATCGAAAAGTAAAAATGAAACGAGCAAATACTATTGATATACCAAAGCCCTTGAATTTCTACGAAATTGAAGATGAATCAGATTACTCGTCAGGTGAGGAATATGAAGACGAGGAAGGGGATAAGCAAATGAACAGAAACAGTTCCAACAGCCAGCACAGAGCTGCATATTTGGCTCTGCGAGGTCCGATCAGGGTGGGGAGTGGGAACAAGTACCCTGGCGATAACAAAGTTCCTCCTCCCAACTTCCAACCTAAGACTGAAAGTGATCGCAAGTTTCTTGCTTTCCTTCAACAACACGGTTCAAACAGCAGTAATCAGCCTGCAGCCCCAGAAAATGTTAAAGTTACTTCTTACAATCCGTCTGCAAGAGGAGGCCATCATTGGAGTAATAGATTTTCAAATATAAAAACTGCATTTGAGTCTACTGCTAACAAGGAAATGAACCAAGTAGAGAGGGGTCCAAAAGTGGCATACGGCCCAGCCGCAGCAAGGCTTTTTTGGCAGTCTGCTGATGATTCTGCTACAGTTATGAAAGCAAGACCTCTTGCAGCAGCGAATGGACCTAAGCTGACAAAGCAAGGAAGTCAGTTCCTCCGAAAACTATTCGAGCAGAAAGATCAGGAAAAACAAGAGCAATCCAAGCTTCCTTGGGCAGAAAAACCGGCAGAAGAAAACGTTGTTGTTGGGTCTCTGACTGTGGCTAATACTAAAAATTCTCATCAAAATTCCATTTACAACAAGAAACAAGTGTTTACGCCGCCACCTAGTCCAATAAGTCAACCAGTAAAAATCAATAAATTCTCACACGCCCCCATGTCAGCATTTCGCCCAGTGGAGAAGAAGTCTTGTCAAAGACTTAATGAAATACCTATGAATACAGCACCTGCTGTTAATCAACCTTGGGCTTCACCCTCTGTCAGTGGTAATGTAAAGCAACTTGCATCTCAAAAGTTCAACCCCTCTCAGCCTCCTGCACCCCTCGTTTCTGCTAATCCTGATACTAGTGCCAACATATCAAGAACAGTGAAACACCGTGGAAGCTTCTCTTCACAAAATGGTCCTCAAGATGTTGGATCTCCAGTGAGCCCTACTTTACCATGGATTAAGGAAGGTACTGACCATCGATCTCTTAATTCTGCAGTTGCTAAGTTTGAAAATATGTCTAGAGAGACGTCACCGCAACCGTCTCTGCCATCTTTAGCCCACAGCCGCAGTATAGAAAAAATTGCCGTTCCTCAATCATTGTCTCTGTACAAACAACCAGAAGTAGTTGCTCCCAAGACGTACATCCCTCCTTCAAACGGACCAGGAATTGTTCAAGGGCGACTGCAAGAAAACAATATATTTCCCAACGTACAAAGTGTAAAGGAACCTCCAAATATGCCTAAACCTCCGTCTTTACTGTCTCCTAGTCTAGCCGTTGCTCAGACATTTGAAAGCAAACAAGTTTTCAGCAAAAATGACTATCGGAAACAGCAGGAGATACTTAAAAATCACCAAGAAAAGTATTCGAGCAAAGAAAAATACAGTGGCCAAGAACCAAATGCTGTCAATCAATATTATCAAGCTCATCATAATAATAGTCATCAGCATCCACCCAATAAGACTGATCCTCCTAGTCAACAGTTTGACAGATCCCAAGTTCAAAATGCTGCTCAAACTTACAGTGGTAGTGTCACCTCAAGAACTGCAGTGTACTCAAATGCTCTGCCAAATGCTCATTTGAACAACGTGTCGGATAAGAAAAGTAAATCACCCATTTCTCCATTGTCATTGCCTTTGAAAAATATTCCTCCGAACCTGGAATCGCCTGACATGCCATCCCCAGAAGCTTTCACTGCTGTCTCACATGTCATGACAGGACCAGTATCTCATCAGGCAGTGACCGTAAGTCAGAAAACTCGGCATAGGTATGATGAAGAAGGTGAAGAACACAAGAGCTCTGCCGCTCGAAACCTGAGTTCCGTCCTTCAGATTTCAATGGTTAAAGGGGATGGGAAAGCGGATAAACTAGGAGTCCCTAAACAGAACAAGAGTCCCTCTCCTGGTCCAAGACAAAACGAACCAGCTGCTGCAAACCAGAAGTCAGGGATGGTCAGAAATAAAAGCGAATCTGACATTAAATTGATGGAAAATCCTCAGTTTTCAGAATACCAAAGGGATAAAGACACAGATGAAAGACCTGCAGCAAGAGGATATCAGGCAAATGGGTTGCCACTGTCTACAAGACTGAGGCCAGCATCTGCTGAGTCACTAATTATGGCTACAAGTACAGAGGAGTTACAGGAAAGTGGAGAGTCAGTTCTAACAACAAGATTACAAATACCTGTATATAATAATGTTAGTGGTAAGGTTCCCTCTCATCGGTCAGGCTCACTGCATGACATTATGCAAGACAGGAAAAGTCCGTATGAAAATGGACATGCATCACAATCCCCGTTACAGAACTCGCATGTTCTTCATAAGTCTGGATCTTGGCATCAGTTGGCACCAGGGCAACAGGGCAAGCCGCGAAGGCCTCAGAGCTTAGCAATACCTGATCTCCCAACCGGCAACACAGGTAATGCACGTCGAGCGCACGGTGGCCTTTCGAAGGCCAAGTCGAGTCATTCCCTAGCATTCCCCAAACAGTTTGAAGCTGCACTTGCACCAGACACAATCGAGAACAAAAAGAGCAAAGTTGAAGCCTACTTAAAAGTAAACGATCCAAATGTACGATCACAAAGTAAATCACCCAACACTACGCCACAACAAAAACCCAGTGTTCCTCAGAAACCTGAAATTCCTTTATTGGATGATAGTTTGGACAATGTGGAAGAAGCATTTGAAGATTTATTTAATTCTACCGCGGGACAATCTACAAAAGTAAACATAAGTAGTTCCAAATTAAAGACAAAGAGGATAAACCACAGTGAACAAGTTCATTCCATTCAACATCAGCACAGTGCAGCTTCCACTCAGTTTGCAAACAGACAAGGGGTCTGGGAAGAGCCAGGCGTTAATAGAGCTTCGCGGGTGCCAAATCTGCCACCGCATATGCTGGCTCACGATTTTGCCAGTAAGTAATGAATGAAAGACTGACTTGTTTTCTTTCATGGCATGGATGTGAATACATGTGATGTTTTGAAATAAAGAATGGGATTTTTTGCATAGCTGCAAGTATATGCGCCGTAGCAACTCACATATAGGCATTACAAAATATACTGTTTGACTTCAGTGTTATTTCTATATGATTTTATTGCAAGAATGTCAATGTGTTTCAAGCTTTGTTGCAATGAGGCGTGTGTCGTTCAGAGAAGTTTCATGAAATTATTTTGATTCAACTCATCTGTAGTTACATTAAAACTGTATAAGCCAATGAAAACATAAGCCTTATATGCAAATAATACCTTAATGTAATTGTACTGTGCTTGCTTGTATTCATTTACTGTTATGGCAATAACTCAGCCAGATGCATCATGAGCAACTAACTCAACATATCCATCAACTTTATGAAGAGAAAAGAGAGAGCTACGTTCTTGGATGAAAAGATCACTCAAGTTCCTACTGGTGACCACTTCAGCAAGGAAGTGCCTGTTGTGAGTCCGAATCATCATTGATGTGTGGATTTTCGCCTATCATGAATGCCAAGCTTCTAATATATCTCCTTATGGAATTCACCCTGTTTTTTCCCTAAGACTGCATCATTGATGTTTATGGTTGCCTAACTATCTACCAAACACCTTTTTGGATTGGTTTTACGTGTTTTTCAATTGTAGTTTCTTTAGGTTGTTTTCTGCATCTTGATCTACCCTGCAGATACAATGCATTTTGATTACCTTTGATTGTGGTATTTGTTAATGACACCCTGCGTCTTTGTACAAATAGTTGATATACTACTGTTTGAATGTAAATATTTATTTTTATTCATAGTTTAGAGTGAATATTAATATGTATGTCCATAGTGCTTCTTTTGACTTGTTGTTTTGAAGATTTTAGGGCTGGCAAGATATATTTACCTAACGTGCTGAGCTAGTAGATTCATTACTGTTGGAATGCTGTAGATGCTTCATGTTCAGTCACAAAATGTATTCAACACTGTCTTGTGCTTGGAATGCAATTTTGTGAAAGTGTTCTGTTAAGCCCTTGGATGCAGTGTGTAGTTGAACTTATTATAATACACCATTGTAACTGATACAATAAATAACTTGACAGACATTGTAAATGCATTGTGCAGTACAATACATACCTGAGAAAACCTGTTTCTTAAAATAAGGGATTCAAAACGACAAATCCAGAACATTCTCATTCACACGGTACACCTGAACAATATTCACAACTTGCAGAATTTGAATTACTATTATAACTTACATAAACAGTCATACATATTTGTTTTATTTTTTTGTTATGTCAGGGAAGTAATTCTGTCACCTTTTGTTTACAGGCCATGCAGAGAGTACCATGTCATCTTCATCTGCAGATGGGAATATAGTCACACGAACCGAAGGTTTGTCTTTGTATTAACTATACAGTTCTCTGAAAATAATTTAAGAAGAATGTGAGATAAGTTTCAATATAGTTTCATATAGTTTTAAAGTAAAAAGGTAAATGTAGCAATGAATATGTAACCATTCTCAGGCTATATACAAATGTTTCCTCATTCTATTTTGTGTTTTATTACTTATAGTGAAAACAAAAAGTACTTCCTTCACTGCAACTGCTGTGGGCAAGAGCCAGGTGACTAAAGGTAAGAGTTCTCTATAAGGTCGGGACTTAATCACATGGCAATTTTGGCAATTGCAAGAGCACAAAGAAAAAGATATATAATTTTCTTCAGTTAAATTAAATGTTTTTCTACATAATAATGTAGCAAACTTTTAGACATGTTGGGGGAAAAGAAAAAGAATTTGCAATATTTTCTGATTAAAAATTACTGTAAAAAGCACTCATTTGTTTCTCTGAATTTTAATGACAGTTTCACTTGATGAAAATAAATTATTCAATTTTTATCAATACATTAGTTGTGATAATATTAGTGGTAATATTAATTTTCATTTGCTAAACATATCCTTTTAAAATCATAATTACAAATATCATGGGTGTTTAAACAAGAAATTTAATGAAGAAAATGAAAAAAATCACTTTCTATATTTCAGTTTAAAGATGTTTGGAACTATATTATTAAATAAAAATCATATCGAATACATTCATTTTAAATTTCACATTGTAAATTGATGAAGAATATGTTGAGTTGATAATATTTTGTTATGGCATTACAATTCTTACGAATAAATGATTTACTTTTGTTTTATTGAAAACATTAATGTTTCAAATATGTACAAGTTCCAATTATGAAAATTTGATGATAACAAAAAATGTTTTTCATAAATAGGAGTGAAGAATTATATAACTTTAATTTGTCTTGTATCCTGCTTAAAATGGAGTAATGTAAAATTTCATTTTAGAATTTGTATGTGATAGTGTTATCATTTACTTTCTCATTGAATTCATTGCATGCCTTGCCTTGCTTACGTTTTGAAACCCTCCTATTAATTTCTTACTATTTATCTTTTTCAGTCGGGCCTGTGAAGCCAATGTCTCCCTTTGCAAAGTTCCAGCAACTGGATCGTCAAAATTCACCAACTTCACCTAAGTGAGTTTTAACTACAGTTCAACAGTAGAAACCATTTGACAAATACATATGTAAGAATTTGTAAGGGATTTTTCCAGCATTGGAGAGAATTTTTCTCAGAAGCACTTTCATATTTATTGTATATACAAATTGTCTTGTTGCAATGAAGAACTCAAAAATATGAGAGGAAACGGAATGTTAATATGCTTGTTGGACCCTATTGCTTCATTACACACATGCAACAGTTAAATACACAGTCTTTTGTGTAAAAAAAAGGGTGATAAAGGCTTTCATTCTTCTTGAGTCTGTCCTTAATTATGTTTTCTGTGCAATTATGTGAAGGACATTTATTTATACTCTTTCAAGTTATACAAAAATAATTGAATTTTGAACATAAGCAAGTTCTCAAGAAAAAAAAAATTAATTTTTGTAGAGAAATTGAAATGGGGGCAGATGATGAATAATACATCTAAAGAAAAGTCTTGTTTAATTTAGAAAAAAATAATTCAATTAAGTTGCAAAGAGAATTACTATCAATAATACTTTTTGGGTAACCTTTAAAAACTACACAGCTGTCTCTTAATTCTTATTGCCTGAAATTTTCACAATTCTTGAAGCAAAGGTGGTCTTTTATTAATAATTGCAGGCTATGTTGATCAGGAGTGGTGAATCTATGATTCATGTATAACAAAGGGCATGCGGAATTGCATATAGCCCTCTGAAAGAAAATTTGGCTTGGTGAATGTTCATTTGATGTCTTAGATTAAAGTGTTTGAATGTTAAGTATTGCAAATACTGAATTATAGTTTGTGTAATACAGACTATGTGATTGTCCATGTGCCATTGTGTTATGTTATCTTTGTATGTTTTTTTTTGTTTCAACTAGCTATAAACGTGCTTTTGAGCATCACTGCATAGCCAGGGAATTAATATTCCCTTTCATATTCAATAAAACATTTCATGATAGTTAAACTTGCAGACAGTTTTATCAAAATGCAGAATAATATTTAAATATAACAATTCTCTTAAAGAACAATATTTTTGTGAGTAAGCTGTTAATATCAGCTGGAAGTTGTAGAATATTTTAAGTTAATATTAGAGCCTTATTCACCAAGTAACTTAGACAAGTTGAATTTCTCAAAACTCAACCTTTAAGAGTAATTGTGTATAAATATTTTTACTGAAAAAAATAAATAATTTTCGTACAAGGAACATATATAAAGGGCCCTCTGAATTTAAATACTCCTGCTGTACATCTCTTATAAAAGTAGTGCAGAAGTAGGTTCACCACCCCTGTTGTAGATTGATGCTTCCAGTTTCCTCTGCTTTTAAACTCGAAATTTCCCTCTTGACTAACCAAGGGCAACTCTTGACAAATTTCTCTGTGTACATCCCACGCAGCTCCCCTAAGACCCCGGGGGGCAGCTCTTCAGGCCCCCTATTTAAATTCACGGATCCTAAGCTGAGTCGGAGTGCTTCGGGGGTCAAGGACAGGCTTCTGTTCTGGTGTCAAAGCAAGACCAAGGACTATAAGGTACAAAGTCAACCATATGCACTTGCATGTTGTACACCACTGCACACACAAACACCTTTGAGACCAGGTGCGTTGCGGTAGCAGGTTTTTGTGTTGAATGAATTTTTTTCTTTTCTTTTATCTTTCTTTCTTATTGTCTCTTGGTTTTGCTTCTTATTAACAAGCTTCACTATAATAATGGATCTCTTGATGAAAGAGAGATTGTGCTTTTAAACAGTGTCATTTGTAGTAAGTGGTAATTTTAGTGTGTTTATATGTTGAAGTTTCAGCATTCAGTTTTGTTTTTGTTTCATATGTTAAGCATGAATTGCATTTATTTGTGAAATAATATGTGGAATGTTTGTGAGACATTTTTCATATTTCTTATGTAACAGAATTAGAATAAATTTAGTGGCACTTTCATAATCAGTTAGAAATTCTTGTTGCCAAATTTCTGATAGTAAAATATATTGTGTTAATAAAGTGTAATTTCATGTGTGGCTTCTAATAATAGTTTTGAATGTGTGTGATAATTTCTGCTACAGTCAAGCTTGTATTAATGAAAGAAAGTTATTGATAGCTTGTTGTTAATTCAGAGGGTTATCTGCAATAATATATCTTTCTTTTGCTGACATATTTTTGCAATTTAAATTTTTTAAACAATTTTTATGAAGTCATCAAAATTTTGATATTTAGCACATGACAAGACAGCAGTATTCTACTTGAATTTGGCTGTCTTGAGGATCCACTTTCTTAAATTAGTACAAGAATGAAGAGGAACCTTTTGGTTCAGTTTGTAGCAGACATTTTAAATTGTTAATTTTAATTCAATATTGAAATCATCTTGCCATTCCGTTTTTCAGAACATTCAAATAGAAAACTTCTCCACAAGCTGGAGCAGTGGTATGGCGTTCTGTGCCCTCATCCATCACTTCCTTCCTGAGGCCTTTGACTATGACTCCTTGCGTCCCGAGGAGCGACGCAAAAATTTTGAGCTTGCGTTCCGAGTAGCCGAGTAAGTAATTGTCCTTGTTTTTAATAAGTCATGTTAGTCAATTATAAATGAAACTATTAGATGTAAAATTAATTTGATCATGTAAAAATCAATTAATACATTTTTGTTCTTGATTGTCATAATTCAATATATACAGTTAAGGATAAATTTACAGCATACCATGTAACATGATAGACAGAACCAGAATTAATGAAAATATAACTTGGATGTTGTCCATTACACAGTCATTCAAATTAGAATCATCTATAGTGCTACTCTAAAAAGGAGTGAGGTGGTTTGAAGTAGCTTTATTCCGGGGAGTAGGGAGATTGTAATTTAATGTAACATCACACTGATATTAATTTTAATTTTTCTATATTTACAAAATTAATTCTTTTATTCAATTCTTATACTAATGGGATCAATCATTTGAATATTAAGAAATTAAATTTTAAAGATATAATTAGCAGAAAAAAAGTTATGATGTATAAATTGTTTATTATTTAATTTATTATACAATTCATTTTTGCATAATTTAAATAAAAATGGAAGTTGTTACATGTGTTACACAATTATTTAGAGGGATTCAAGAGGGGGTTTATCCAAAAGGTCCCAAATTTGATTTATGTAATTTATGGCTGGCCACTTAAATGGAAAATATAGAAATTATAAAACATTTTAATAAAATCCTAACTGAAATAAGATTGTGGATAAAAAATATTTTAAACAACCTATGTGAGAACAGTTTTTCTAAATCTTCACAGTATATTTTAGTGGCATGATGATTTTTGGAAATGGAATAATAATCTTAATATATTTGAATGTTGTTACAAGTGAAATGGACAATGGAATAATCTAAAAAAAATTACTTTTCTCTCAGAATATGAAAATTACAATTGACCAACATCTGTTAACATGTAAAAAAATTATTTTAAATGAGATTTGCGATTACAGAGAAGAAAAACAGAATTCTGAGAATTGTATAGGGAAACAATTATAACCACTTGAGCCTTTTAAAATCATTTTGACATGAGTAATATGAAGAGTCCCACCAAATTTTATCTGTTTGCCACATTTAGTGTGATTGATGCACATAAATAATTCTCAGGAACAAATTGGTGCTACATCAGTATTAAAAATTTGGAATTCATGTTGGTATTATTTTATTGTTGTTTTCATTATCATGTAGATATTTTTCAAAACATAAGCACAAGAATTGAATTATACAATATTTATGATTAAAATTTTCTGATATTTTACTTAATACAATTTTAATACAAATCTTAATACAATTTGTAATAAGTGGAAAAAAGTAGAATTTTGTAATTTAAATGATATGTGACAATGTGATGATGTCTTGAAGCATGACCAATAATTACCCTTACATCTCTAATTACCCTTGTATCTTTTTTCTAGTGAAAAGGCTGGGATCGCACCACTCCTAGACGTTGAAGACATGGTCATGATGCGAAAGCCAGATTGGAAGTGTGTTTTCACGTATGTCCAGTCTGTCTATCGCCGCTTCAAGGATGAAGACTGAAAATTTTATTGAACTGTAGTAATGATGTTCCTATTGGTAACCCTTCCTCTTTTGATAATTACAACTATATCTTTATAAAGTGTGAACACTTATTTTATTCATGTACAGTGTTGTATTATAGATTTATTTAATTATTGGATATATTATTAGAAATATGTTGAACAAAGAGTCATAAAAATAATATGCAGTGTTACATTTACAAATGGTATGGAAACTTAAAATATTTTTTTTGTAATTATTAAGGTTAAAAACATATGCTTTATGTTTGTAAATCATATTTGTAAATGTGACACGGCATATTCAATCAAATAAAGTTAAGAAACCAAAATTGGTTTCTTGATGGATGGGCGTTGCACAGAACTTCATTTATTTTTCTTTTATGGCAGTGAGACTGACATTTATCGCCACATGCTCCAGTGAGTGATACTATTATTTTCATCTAATACTTTTCATTTTCAGCTTTCTTACATATAAATTTAATGAGAATATTTATTAGTTCTTAAGTATTATAAACTACATAACATTACTACAAAATGTTACTCAAATATATTATTTGCATCTGCCTTTCATTAAATTCAAAAGAGATTAAGAAATTTGTGGTGCTTTTGATAAATATGTTGGTGCTACTTTTCTTTCATATACCTGCCTGAAAGCACAATGAACTGTTACTTTAACACATCAGTAATCCATTATTTGCTGGGGTAGGTGAAACTCATGATGCAACAGATATTAACATTTTTGTTTCTTTTCCCTCCAAAACTAAAACTTCTTATTTATACCTAGAAGGAGGATATTTTATAAAGTTTTTTAGACAACTATAGTTTGGTGTAGCGACCTTTGTTAATTTTGTATGTACGTTTTGTAGGGCCCACTAATTGAAAATAAGATGAAGCTTTCATTTTCAAATAAAGAAATTCATATTGTTTAATGAAGTTTGTTTTTTGAATCTTCCTTTCATTTATATTCCTGTCACAGTTATTGATAGGAAATCCAGTAAAACAAGTATGGACATCAAATTGTGAATACAGAAATAACAGACTCAGGTAATATCAGAAAAGTTCTTCAGTCCTTCAAACCTCCAAAATTTATATTTTTACAAATCCTTAAATGTGAGTTTTGTATTAACAGTAATTTAAACAACTTTGTATATTATAAATAAAAATGCCAAGGTACACCAGTTTCGAAGAATCAATCACTTTCTAGAACAGGTAAGTTTTACAATAAATAAGTCAGACTATGGTATATAAATGGTAATTAATAAAATCTGAAAAGCAATTGAAGGCACCTTTTTTTTAAACTGGTATTATAAAAGCCCCTGAATATATGAAAGCACAAATAGGAAGAAATGCTGAACTGAAGAAATGTCCTGAGAAAAATTCACATTTACCTTGAACATTAACAATTCTTATGTATCAAAATTAAAAGAATGAAACATTGGAGTGTTGTGAAAAATATTCATAGATTCAAAGTTGTTTAATATTTCAGAAACATTTGTGAAAGCAAGGAAATATTGTAGGTTTATGTAGGTTTAATTATGCACAACTTTTTAAAGAAGAGTCATAAAACCTAATTTACTTTCTTATGTTATTTCATGGTGCTTATGCTATCTTGGGTGAAGTACTGAGAAGTAATTTACTGTTTATATGCCTTATGCAAGGCAAGAACTCATCTTTTACTTTGTTTAGATATTTTCAATTGAAATCAGTGGCAGCACAAGTAGATCCACAAGTATATCTTATGCCTCAGCCAAGCTGATATATTTCTGCTTCCCAATAATTTTTACTTTTAGGAACACTTTTTTTAAAAGTGAAATGGAAAATGATAAACTAATTTTTTTGTAAGTTACATATTTAGTAAATCCATATATTTGTACAGAATATTAAGAAATTACTATAAAAAATAAATTATTTGATAGTTATTTTATTCTAAAATATTTTTTAATGGAAACCTATATTGTAACTAAGGCTGAAAGTTCATTTAGAGAGAGTTTTCTTGAAATGAAAAATATTTTACCTATTATATTTATTTGTCCTAGAAACATTCCAAAAATGTATGTGCAAAACACCTTCTAAAATCAAAGTTATAGTAAACATGATGCATATATTCATGAAATGTTCTAAATGATCAGTATCAATGCCCCTGAGTCATACAGCTCACAAACACACACACGCATGGAAATTATTTTTATTACAAAATATTTTACATTGATGAAGGACCAGAATTTGTGCATGAGGTTTGCACCGTGGGTGGTCACTAAGTTCGCCTAGGCCTTAGGCAAGTGATGGGAGTAGTGATGCCCTGGACCTCCAGATGTAATTGACACCTCTGCATATCGCTAAGGAAAGAAGACAGTTTCTGCCTATTTATAAGAAACAATCTTCATTTGCTTTGATTTTGATTTATTTTCTCAATGAACAGTACAAAATGTGTGTGATGTATGGGGGGAAAGTACAAACAGTGAATGTTTTCTTGAGCTCTGGAATCCCTTCATCTTCTCTTGACCCGAAATAGTTGAATGATGAACTAACAAATCAAAATCCAAATTTGGTTTTTACATTTTTCGAAGGGGTAATGCTATTGCACTCTTTAATATGACGTAGAGCCATTTTGGGGTATTTTTTTGTTTTATCTACAAATGTAATTTGTAAATTTATACAAATGTAATTTTTTGGATGATCTCTCATGCCGTTAATATGCACATTTCCATCAATTTTTGTAAACACTTATATTTGTGAGTTATTGTGTGTTTAATGACTAATAAAAATTTTCAAAAACTCCAAATTTGTTCAAGAAAATTGCAATTTACAACTAGTTACTGTTCTTTAATATTCTTATAATAATATTTCCGTTCTAGTTTTAGAACCCCAAAAAATTGAGAAAATAAAAAAAAGACGGTTGCAAGTCCGAATAGCTTGCCGAGATCAAAGGAAATAGAAAACTAAAACGGGAAAGTCTGTGCCATTTGTAGCACCACTAGTTATTCTTGTATTCAGTACACCAACGTTTTTAGATTTCAAGAAATATAGCTTCGTATGTTAAACAAGTGCGAAAACTTTTGGTTTTGAGCTATTGATTATCGTGTGCTATTTCATATCGCGTATTTCGGTTTGTTGAAAATCCTCGGACCCTGTACATTGGAATATGGACGTTTTCATAGGGCTTGCGATGAAAAACTGTGAGGTTGATGTGAATTATTTCCGTTATTGAGTGAACTAAGTCTTAGACCTTATGTGTTTTTTTTGGTTTTTAATAGTTCCATCGTCAGTTGATGCAGTTCATCACTCCGTCAGTCCATCCGTATGTCAATCCGTCCGTCCGTCCGTCAGCCCGTTTGTCAGTCTATTCGTAAGTCCATCTACTTGTCCGTCTATCACTAGTTCCGTCAGTCTGTCAGTCCGTCAGATTGTCCGTTAGCCCGTCAATCCGTCCGTCAATCCACCAATCTAGTCCAATCCGTCCGCCCGTCAGCCAGTCAATCCGTCCAATAGTTCGTCCATCTGTCAGTCCGTCCGTCAGTCCATTTTTAAGTCCGTCCGTCAGTCATATCTTCAGTCCGTACGTTCGTCCGCCCGACAGACCGCCCGTCTGTTTAGTCCGTCCGTCCATCCGTCTGTCATTCCGTCCGTAAGTCCGTCTGTCAGCTCGTTCGTCAGTCCGTCAGTTTATCCATTAGCCCGTCATTCCGCCCATCCATCCGTCAATCCGCCAATCTAGTCGTAATTCCGTCAGTCCGCCCGTCAGTGCGAAAGTCATTCCGTCTATCTCTCCATCAATTCATCCGTTCAGTCAGTTAGTCTGTAGGTCCACCGTTGAGTCCGTCTGTCCATCCGTCCTTCTGCCAGTCTCCGTCAATCTGTCCGTCAGTCCGTCCAACTGTCTGCCCGACCGCAATTCCGTCTGTCAGTCACGCCGTCTGCCTGTCCGTTCCTCAGTCGTCCGTCAGTCCGTCCATCTGTCTGTCGTCCGTCAGTCTGTCCGCCAGTCCGTTCGTCAGTCCATGAGTCCATCGGAAAGTCTATTCGTTAGTCCATCCGTTAATCTGTTCGTCAGTAGGTCAGTCCGTTAGTCAATCTGCCCGTCAGTCTGTCCGTCAGCCTGTCAGTCCTTCCGTGAGTCTAAGTCCGTCCGTCAGTCTAACATACCGTCCAACAGCCCATCTGCCTGTCAGCCCGTCCACCATTCCGTCTGTCAGTGATTCGTCAGGCCGTTCAACCGTCAGTCTGTCCGTCCACCCGTTGGCCGTACATCAGTCCTCCGGCAGTCCGACCGTCATTCCGTGAATACGTCCATCAAACCGTCCTTCATTACGTCCTTCAGTCAGTCTGTTCATCCGTCAGTCCGTCCGTCATTCTGTCCATCAGTCAGACCGTCAATTCCTCTGACAGTCCGCCCGTCAATCGTCCGTCCGTCGGACCAACATCCCGTCCTTCAATCGACCGTCCATCACACCAACATTCCGCCAGTAAATACGCCAGTCCATCCATCAGTCCGTCCATCCGTCAGTCCGTCCGCTAGTCTATCAGTGCGTCCGTCAGTCTATTCGCCAGTCTGTCCGTCAGGCCCTCCGTCCGTCATTCCGACAGTCTGTCCGTCATTCCGTCAGTCTGTCGCTCAGTTCGTGCTACTGTCCTTCCATCCGTCCTTTTGTCAGCCCGTCCTACAGTCCTTCAGTCCGTCCGTCAGTCCGTCGTTGAGTCCGTCAGTACGTAGGTGTTTTTTGTCAGTTAATCTGTCCGTCAGTCTGTTCGTCAGTTCGTCCGTCATTTCGCCCGCCAGTCGGTCCGTCAGTCACTCCGCTAGGCCGTCTATCCGTTCGTCCGTCAGTCTGTTCGTCAGTCTGTTCGTCAGTCTGTCAGTTCATCACTCCGTCCGTTAGTCTGACATTCAGTTCGTCTGACAGTCTATTAGTGCGTCCGTGAATCCGTCCGTCAGTCCGTCGCCCACTTGGTGAGTCAGTCCGTCGTTCCGTTCGTCTGACAGTCCGTCCGTCAGTTCGACCGTCTCTCCGTCTGTCAGCCCGATCATCATCTGTCAGTCCTCCCGCTATTCGCTCTTTCAGTTCGTTCGTTCACCAGTCTGTCAAACAGTCCGTACGTGAAACCGCCATTCAGTCCGTCTATCAGTTCTTCCATCATTCCGTCCGTCAGATCATCAGTCAGTTAGTGCGTTAGTTCGTCCGTCAGTCTGTCCGTCTGCCTGTCAGTCAATCCGTCCGTCTATTAAACGGTCCGTTCAATAGTCCATCCGCTCGTCAATCGGTCAGTCCGTCTATAGAGTCCATCCAACAGTCCTACCGTTATGCCGTCCGTCAGTTTTTCCAAACGTCTGTCCGTCAGTCCGGCAGACTGTCTGTCAGTCATTCCGTATTCCGTCCGTCGATAAGTACGTCACTTCGACTTTTAGAACATTCGTAATATATATATTTTTCCGCCTTTTATATTTTTCAAATTTTTAGATTTTTGTTTTTTTTTTTCACTTTTTGTTTCAGGTATTTTGTCGCTCGTCTTTTGGTTCGTCGTCGTTAGTCGCTCATCGTTCGTTGTTTCTCGTTTGTCGTTTGTCGTTCGTCGTTAGACGTGCGTCGTTCGTTATTCGTCGATCATCGTTCGTCTCACGTCGCTAGTAGTTCGTCGTTCGTTTATATTTTCCGAATTAATTTTTCCGAATTTCTATATTTTTTGAACTTTTATATTTACTTAATTTTTATATTTTTCGAATTTTTATATTATTTGAAATTTTATATTATTCGACGTTTTATATTTTTCGAATTTTCAACTTTTCAAATTTCATATTTTCCGAATTTTTATATTTTTCAATTTTAATCATTTATATTGTTACATTTTTTCAAAGATTTATGTTTTCGGATTTTCATATTTTTTTGATTTTTTATATTTTTAGAAGTTTTATATACTTTTTGTGTTTCTGGTCTCTC